GCAATATTTGTTGAAGGGCCCAACCGGGTTCGAACCGGTGACCTCTTGATCTGCAGTCAAATGCTCTACCACTGAGCTATAGACCCCTTACCTGCTAATGTCTTTCAAACCTTTTGCTAAATTTATTGCTAGGCTCTGCATTCATAACCACCAGACAAGTGTCCGTTGGTAACTCACAAAATACAAGGAATATGAAATGAAATTTTCGGATATCTCAACTTGCATCTCAAAACTAGTAAACAATAGCAGTCCCAGAAAAACCAAAATGACTGATTTCTGCTAACAAGGCTTACAATCAATTTTTGTTCTTGGTTTTACAGTCACATTTAACGGAAGAATTACAGTCACTATAACTAGAGAAGTCACTCCCCTCCTAAGTTTGCCTGAGCTTCAGCTTGTGCTTGATTTTGTTCTTGAGCTTGAGCTTGATTTTGCTCTTGAACTTGACCCTGAGTTTGTACTTGATTTTGTTCCTGAGCTTGAGCTTGTTCTTGATTTTGTTCTTGAACTTTACCCTGAGTTTGTACTTGATCTTGTTCCTGAGCTTGAGCCTGAGCTTGTTCTTCAGCTTGAGCTTGACCCTGAGTTTGTGCTTGATTTTGTTCTTGAGCTTTAGCTTCAGCTTGAGTTTGAGCTTGATTTTGTTCTTGAGTTTTAGCTTGTGCTTGAGTTTGAGCTTTAGCTTCAGCTTGAGTGCTTCGAAATGACTCCTTTGTTACTCCACAGTAAACTGGGGCATTCCCAGAATATGTGACAAAGTTCCAACCAAATGCTGATCCGCCAACAATATACGTCCCTTGAGTATCTTTGTCCTCAGGTTGTTGCTGTTTTGCAGACCCAAACCCCAAGTGGGCGGTTTTGTTTTCAGATGGTTCAGTTGGCTTAACAACTTGGGGCTGTTCTTGGGGCTTTTGTCCAGGACCAGTTACACCAGCCAAAGGTTGGCTTTCCAGCACTTCCTTTTGCTTTTCCGAGGAGACTGTTTCAGCTGGCATCTGATTGTATAACTCCATTAAAAGCTCCATACCTGCAAATTGGAAATTACACATTTATCTACCCAACTTATGACCACATGAATTACCTATTATTCCATGCCGTTAGCTAAGGTGATAATCTCATGGAATTGATATCAAGAAGAATAGCTTGGACTCTTTGCAGCCATGAATAAGAATAAATAAATGGTTTTAAAGCCATAGCATTTGCACAAAGTCTTTGTGAAGTCAGTAACTTGCACCAGCAAGTGTATACAAGGCCAGAGAGGACACATATATAGAGGACATAATTAATTCTTATAAAAGACAAAATGTAAATATGTAAACTTACGTTCTTTGATTTCATTAGCTGCCTTGCAATTTCGAAAGTCTGGCGTCCGAAGGACCTAAACACAAAACAAAAAACAAAAAAGGACTTTATGATTTTACAGAACCAAACACAAGAAAAGACTCTGTTGACACCTTGATGGATGAAACCTTTCATGGAAAGAACAAGTTTTACAGTTACTGAGAGTATCCAGCAAGAAAACAAAATAATGCAACAGTGTACTTAAAATATAGTGGTATTGATACAAGAAAACAATTAGCAGCCACAGTAGATGAATGTTTGATATTCATATAATGGTCGATTGCCACCAAAAATCCAAGATAATGCCATGACAATTACCAATAAAACAGTAGCAAATGTAATGAACATACAATTTACTTCCACATGAGCTCAATTAATGATCCAACTCCTTAGTAACCATCTAAAAAGGCCTTAATTCTTAGCAATAGCTTGCCAGACATGAAGTCAAGCTTGCAATAACTTGAATATCTATTTCTTGTCCACACACGACTTCAAAAGACAATTGTTTCAAATTCTCTTTCAACCACCTTGGCACTACTCTTCACCAAGCTACCAAGGAAAATATGTTCTGAACAATAGCTGACAAGGACATCAGCTCTAATTATAATTATGGGTTTCTACCAGTTGATTGCCATCAACATCCAATCACTCAGAATAAGGTACTGATCTAAAAATTGGAAAAAGGTTGTTGTATTGACATCAACAATTTGAACTCTGAAAGGCCATGGTCTCACTCTCACCTACTCTAAGCCAGAATGGAGCAAAGGACGTGTGCACATTCAGCTAATTATGTATGATAATGATAACTGGACATTACTAAAATAAACAATTCAACAATTTCTTAAAAAAATATAAATTTAGCCAAAAACTCAGAATTTTTCTTATACCTGAATTTACTTAAATTGATCTCATGTTATAATCTAACCTTCAAAAGCCCGTATCAAACTGTCAAGTACCTCAAAACCCATAACAAGACCACATTACAATAACAAAATAAGTACATCTCAGCTCCTAATCTCCCTCAATGTACATCAATTTCACTAAAATTGACAAATTCTATCTTAAACCCTACCGCATCCCCCATAGATCAACAGCAAATGCAAAATCTTAGAAATGAGATCACTGTGAATAGAATGTCAAATTCTGGTCTCCACAACCCAATCACAAGTCCATATAAGCTAAAAAGAGTAAAAAGTAAAAGGATAGACATTTATCATGATGCAACATAAGACAGTGAAAACCCCAGAAAATTCATACAAACAGGGGAAAAAGGATTGGATTCGAATTTCGAATACCCTTTTGCCAAACCTATTTAAAATTTTGGGCATACCTCGATGAAATGAGGACGAAGTTCCTTGACGATGAGACGCATCTTGTAGTACTTGGAGTTCACAAGTTGGCCATTGCTGTTGTCGAGTGGTCTTTTCTTACTTTCAGAAGGAAGAGCCAGCGGTGGTGGTGGAGACGCCGGAGTTGGCGGAGGAGGTGCTTCGGCTGTACTCGGTGGATCTGTGACTTGGGTTTGTGGCTGGTCCTGGACCGGTTGAGGATCTTCCATGGACGGAGTCTCGACTTCCATTTCTGCTGTTTAGAAGCACCTGAGTGAAGAACTCAACTTTCAACCAGGTTCTTATCGTAATTAGACTGTTTGGTTGCGCGTGTAAACGTGCTCTTACCCTAAATAGGCTTGTTCGGGTCAATAGCCCAACTGACTAAGCCCAGATTTGGGCTGTGGGTGAAATGTCGGCCCAATATCGACGACATGGATCTCCTTGCATCAGTTATTTGGACGCGGAAACAGATCATGAGTAGCTTGATCTGTACGCAACGCTGCTAACACTCCCAAATCCATTTCTCCGTCTCCACTAGGGTTTACGAATTCACTCCAGATTGCTTCTTCTTCCCCGTGCAGTTTCCTCAAATTCTTCGGTTGCTCATAGATCTCATCGATTCGCTGCTTGTTATGGTGAATACACACATACAGGTAGGTTTTCTTAATCAAAATCGCTCGAAGATGCATCTTGATTTCCTTAATTTTCTTTTCCACGGAGAATTTTCGATTTAGCAAGCGATGTTAGATTTCCCGCTGATGGATGAATCCTGGCATTTTGTTTTATTTTTGCTTCTGAATATTATTTTGCGATGATCTACGAAACTCATCTCCGGTGATGTAGCATTTTTTTACCTTAATTCCTCAATTTCTTATGATGAATTATCTGAAATTCATATCTTTGTTTCGTTCTCCTTATGGTGTATCCACATACCGAGCGAGGTTTCTTGGATCAAAATCGCTCAACATGTAACTTGATTTCCTTAATTTTC